ATGGATTAAACATTTCAATCATATTTTCCAGTGACCCTTCTCAAATCATAGTGAATTCGAAGATTTGTTTATATATTGTTCAGCCAATACAAGGCGTAAGTGCCACTCAAGGTAAAGGGTTATTCAATAGAAATGTTAAAAGAGCGTATAAGGGAGGAGACAAGGGTTGCATCTTATGAGAATATGAAAAACATATAACGATTGACTCTCGACTTGAGATTAAGATTGTTGTAATCAGGGAAGCAGCAACTTGATTGTTAGTTCTACATTGAAACAGTTCTGGGAAAGAAACTGTCTAATTGGAACCTTACCAATGGTATAGGAAGAGAATGTTAATGAGTCGAATCAGTGTACCAGGCATTGTCGGTCCTAGATGTGAAGGTCTGGACTGGTAAAACCAAGCAATCTGTTATGAAATAGCTCTAGAGTATCTTTAGAGAGGCTAGCAACAGTTCGTCTGTGGGAAAGAGATTGTAGGATGGAAAACATTTTTTGAACTCGGTCGAAACTAGAAAATGAGGATTACGCAGCTCCGGCCCAGATATGTCAGCAACGCTCCATTTTTGGCCTGAACTGGATCTTGTAGAGATAGAGCATGGTAAGAGGCGTCAGGTAATTTCTAGAGTTGTACAGAGAGCCGACCATTTTTCCAGCGTCCTCTCGAGATCTGGTGTGAGCTTCAGTCCCAATAGATATTCCAAGTAAGGAGCCTCCTTGAGAGTATAACCGTTCATTATGATTAGAGAAAATTCAGGGTGTAATCTGTGATGGTGAGACGCTACTACCTTGGTTTTGGTGGTACTGAATATTACAAACCAGTTCCTCCCCCATTGATCTATGCGAACAAGGTCAGGTGAGAGATCGGCTGCCAGATTCTAGTCATCTAGATTTTTGTTGGTGCTCTCAAAAAAACAAAGTACTATTGATCTAAGAATGTTTTTAGGCAGATCGTTCATATATAACAGGAAAAAGGGGGTAGGAACGAAGGGAGAACATTAAGCTACGCCTTCATCTTATGGGCCTCGGAGACCTGGCCACTCATGAACTTACCTGTGAGGAAGGAATTGATAATAGAAAATACTCTACAATAAATGCCATATCTGTAGAGTATGTGCAACTGCCCATATGCCACACCGTATCAAAAACAAAAAGATAGTGAAGTTCTGTAGTGAAACAACAAACACAATGAGTAGACACATCTGTCATGTTTGTGAAACAGTGAATGTCTACAATCCGAGAAATCGAGAAAACCTACTAAACAATATGTGACTACCGACAGAAATCGAAATAGTATTTTCTTTTTAGGCCACATAAAGATACAATTAGAAGAAAAGATTTATCATATCAAGTTTTAGGCTTGGTGTTTTGTTTTATATCAAGATTTTTTAAACTACGTTAGCGCCATTACAACATCACACACACATACACACACACACACGCACACGCACACACACACACACACATATATATATATATATATATATATATATATATATATATATATATATATATATATATATATGATGGACTTTCCTGTCGATTTCGGCGTACGAGGATCCGACAATGTAATTAAGGTTTAAGTTTGTGTTGTATGTGACATTTCATTCCCATTAGTGACCTGCATACAAGTCCACATATTGTGCAACAGCCAGGCTCTCGGGACATAGCAACAGGAATAGTTGCTGATGCTTATCGCCGTTGTCTTTCGTTTTTTAGACGGTCAATACGACTGATTTTGAAATTTCTGATACCACTCCGGCACAAACATCTCCAATTATTTCTATCTAGAGCAACACGCTCAAAGTTGGTATGAAGCATATTGACAGCCGAGAGGTTAATCGTTATATATATATATATATATATATATATATATATATATATATAAAATATATATTTATAAATATATGTTAGATATATATTTTATATATATATATATATATATATATATATATATAAAATATATATATATATATATATTATATATATAAAATATATATATGATATATATATATATATATATCATATATATATATCATATATATATAAAATATATATAATATATACACATATGATATATATATCATATATATATATATATATATGATATACATATATATATTATATATATAAAATATATATATCATATATATATATATATTATATATATACATGATATATATAAAATATATATATTTGATATATATAATTATTTTTTTTAAATATGATTCTTTCGCTACATAAGAGTTCTCATGTTTCAAAAACAAGAGCCAAAAACCTCAATATAATTATTGAAATTAAATTGAATTAAAGTATCTGTAGCCCTGTTTCATCCTCAAGCGGAAATTTAGGAATAACCAATGTTGAAATTTCCGCATCTTTTTATATATATATATATATATATATATATATATATATATATATATATATATATATATGTTATATATATTTATAATGTAAAATATATAATATATATAAATTATATATATGATATATCTTACTTATTATAAAACGCAGATTGTGTGTGTGTGTGTGTGTGTGTGTGTGTGTGTGTGTGTGTGTGTGTGTGTGTGTGTGTGTGTGTGTGTGTGTACGTTTATATATGGGATCGTATTTCCTACATTTTTTAACCGATTTCAACAAAACTTCACAGGTATAATTACCCTGCGGTGGTTCTGACAGCGCCAAGAATTGGAAAAACACAATTGTTTTTGCACGAAATCAATTTGAAAGCACGGTTAAGTGTATCGCACCCAGCCGGAAGTTACTGCCGTCTACTCAAACGTCCGAATGCCGTTAAGTTCCGGTGACTCAGCGTTTTTTTTTTCAGAGAACGATACACAAAAAGTAAACAAATGAAACCTAAACATACACAAGTCCTCCTAACTAAAAATAATAACCGGAAACTACTTTAAATACACACGGTGTCCAAATGAAACCCATGTGTACAGTCAAAATGCGAAAGTTAATTTTTTTTTTGTTCTTCCAGTTACGAGTCCCTTTTTTTAAAGCTGATCGTTTTGTGTTCATTTTGTTTAGTTCTTTTTTCGTAACAGATTTAATGTTTAGTATAGAGCTTAGAAAAAAGGCAAGGAAGGGCAAAAATATTTTAAGACAAGTGATAGCGTATGCTGTATGAGTCGTACGATTTTTGAATCAAGCACGGGCAACGCCGGGCCATGCTGCTAGTATATATATAAATTATATATATATGATATATATATATATAATATAAATCACATATATATGATATATATATATGTATAAATTATATACAGACTATAGTTTATTTTTACAGGTAAAAATAACGTATAAACAAAAAATGTCTATATTTCTCAAGGACACATGGCACAGTGGATAAAGGCGTTGGTTAGATCCAGTGACAGACCCAAAAGAAGGTGAGTTTAATACCTGGTTAAGGCAGTGGAGAACTTTCAGAGGGAAAATTAGCAGGAGATAACTGATAGCTGACATCTATCAAAACATGGCACGTGGAACTAGAACAGTCTACCCCAGTGATCGAAATAAAGAATTCAGTTCGAAATTCCAACCACCTGAAGAAGGCCGGAGCGTACAACGGCCGAAACGTTGTGGCAAATATGGCAACAAAGATGAGGACAATAGTCCGACTAATGTAAACAAAAAATATATAAAATTATTTGTTTACGTTAAGATACGCTTCGAGCAGATATGAGTGTTCGAGAGAAATCATGGAAGATTTGTAGTTTAAAAACAGTAATTTAAATGCGCTAACGTGAAGCTTTCTCTGTAGCTAAATGGGATAGCACGTCAGGCTACATGACTGTTTTATATAGGGTACAGTTTCGATTCCAGTCAAAAGATAAATATTTTCTTTGAGATTCCTCAGACATTCATGCCGATAAACTTTGTTAATACTGTTTATTATAAACAGAGCCTTTATTTAAATATTTGTATCTGTAAATATAATGTATATACAATATATATATATTTAATATGATATATTTATATACACTTTATATATACATATAATATATTTTCATATAATATTTTGTCGAGAAAATCTCAACCCAAGAAAAAAATCCGTGAAAGTGCCACGGAAATGAGCAGGGGTACTTAAGTTGCGAAAAAAATATCCACTTCTGCGATGCAGCTTCTCAGTCAGATATCTTGCGTAGTATAACAAAAGGTAAAAAAAAAACATTTCCTTTAGTGATCACGTGATAACAAGTCACAAGACCTTGTAACTACAAAAAAAAAAAAATAAGGTTAAAAAAGTAACAGCTTTTAGTCGACCAGAACAACAACCGAGGTAAGTAGCTTACTCCTCCTACCTGAACCATCAATTTTTTCACACCTTCCGGAGAACGAAAAGAAAAGAAAAGGAAAAGACAATGTCATTAAGAATTGTTTTGGTATTATTATTTTTTTTTTTTTATTATTATAATGTGCCCTCTGGGTCTGCTGGGTCTGCGCCGACGGTGCCTCAAGGGTGCACAATCAGGACAATTTCATTATTTCCTTGTAGGTATGGGGGTGAGATTTAACCTGAAGTGGCACCAGCTGTTACACCCCTCACAGCAAATCATATCTTGATCATCGTGTGGAGCGTTACATATTGGACAGAGCCAAACAACCTCCACTTCATCAGAAGGCGATAGATGAAGAGGGACTGCAGATGCACCAGCAGAGGAGGGCAAGGGCATCATTTAATCTTTAACCGCTAACAAGGACAACTCGAGCGGCAACAGGTGCATCAAAGAGTGTACCTGCACCATCCCACCCTGTTTAACCCTGGCTGTCCTGGCAACACCATCCCTTCTGCTGATCAGCTCTACAATCCCACCTATAACCCAAAAAGTTCCGGGTTCAAGCGCGCTTTGGATTAGCACCACATTCACCTGTTATGTAACGGCATCCTAGACCTCTCTTTGATGCTCAAAATGTACTCGTCGTACCACTGGGCCTTAAACTATTCTAGACACCAGTTCCTCATCTGCATAGCTCTGGCGAGTCTTTCCCTAATGGAGAGGGTCAGTGAGTGCGCACAATCTTCTTTGTTCAAGTCCAACAGCAGCCCAGGACTCACATTTGACCGCAAAAACCTTCTCGGTGTTACCGTTTCCAGCTCTCTCTCTCTCTCTCTCTCTCTCTCTCTCCGCCGATTCTCGATAGGTTAGGGAGAGATTATTGACAGCCCTCTGGATATCAGAGATAAGGGTTAGCAATGAGAAATAATCTATTTCCCCCCGCTCGTCCCACAACTTTGTGGAGGAAGGTTTTGATTGTTTTGATTCCAATCCAGGGAATCGTCGGATAGGGCGGAACTTAATTTGTCAAGGGCCAAACTTCTGTTGGAAATCGTGGCAAAACAATAACTTCATGAACAGATGACCACCACCCTGGAAGGTCTTAGCATTATCGCTGTAGATGACAGCCAGTATACCATACAATTTTGTGAAACGCACCAAAGCTTGAAGGAAAGACAGCACACTCAAGTCTGACACCACCTCAATGTGTACAGCTCTGATACTAAGGTAAGTAAAAATGAGCAAATACATTTCAACCTCTCTATCACCCTCCCTAATCCCAAGGTGCCCAGTGTAGTTAATACCTGTATGTCTGAAAGGGACCGCCAGCTCCACACGCGAAGTGGAAAAACTGGCTACATTGGAAGGCAGGACATGCCTGGCGTTGTATCACTTGTACAACGTACAGATACTCAAGACCGTCTTCACAGCCTGTCTTCTCTTGAGCACCCAGATACCACTTCATCTCACCTCATCCAACGCGGACTCAACTCCCAAGTGCTGGCACCTGGCATGGGCATCCATTATGAGGAGTGATGCTTTGCTAACAGAATAGTGTGTTTAACTCCCACATTGAAATGAAGAGAATTACCAATTCTGCTATCCTTGTCAATGTACAGATCAAGGTCCCCAACCAACCTAGGAACATTCCTGCCAGAAGCATCCTTAAGAATGCCAGTTCCTCAGGATAGGCTTCCTGTTGCATTGTCTTCATCAGAGGTATGGCTGCCAGCTTCTCACTATCAACCTCCAACCGCTGCTACCTATTAATAAACTTTACTTCTAACGCGGTTACTCTCAAGAGCTTCGCAAAGGAAGAAAATTTCTTCAAAGGCAGAACCATTCAATGAAGAACGGGCTTTTCTCTGGTTGCGTTGATTGATACATGGCAACTCCCGTGTGGCCCATGGAGTAATTCTGCTACACAACCAACCAGAACCGAAGGCAAATCTAACATCTTTCCAACGTCAAACCCCTGGTGTTCAAGTCAGCAGGGTTCTCCGTAGTTAGTACATACCGGAAAGAGGGGGTAAGGCCAATCAAGGATTCCAACTCCACAACCATCTGCAAGATATCCGTCAGCCGGTTTCTTGCAAATAGCTTCTTGCTCGCGATTGATCCACTAGAGGACCACTTGGGAATCCGTGACTACCTGTATTTTGGTTGGGGCGAGTCTACCGCAACCCCTCAAGACAATGGGCAAGCATTTCAAAACCAAATACACGGCCAAAAGTTCCAAGATGAGAAGAGTCTTCTTCTTTAAGGGTGCCACCTTAGCCTTAGCAAAAAGCAGGCAAGCCTGGCAATTCTGCACCACATACGCAACAAAACCATATGCCCCCGGTGATGCATCACAGAAGAGGAACATCACGCCGGATTCGTTCTCACCGAAAGCCTTCCGGGTAGTTTTCCCAAGCCCGGAAAGATCAGCTGAAAGGTTCCTCCACCTGGATGAAAATTCATCTGGAACCGGATCATCTCATCCTAAGCCCTTCTTCTATAGATTACTCAACAGGATACAGCCTCGCAACATGACAGGCAAGTATAAAGACAAAAGGTCAAAGGCTTTGTTGAAGCATTAAGGTTGCAAGTTTTGGGAGAAATACGCTAAGTGTCAGTGAGTGGATTATAACGATATCCAAGCACTTTCTCCCAATCAACCCCATGACTGCTCAGCGTACCTACAATCTTCATTTTGTCCCGAAAACTCACACAGTTAGAGCTGCAAGACTCCAGCTCAAACCCTCCCAGTTGCAATCGTTCAAAGAGCATATAAATTGCGTAGTTCATCCGGACTATCATTGGTCATCACCAGAGTGTCCACTTAAAACTGATTCTCCATCATACGTCTACAAGGATCTAAAGGAAATTGAGCAGCATGCTGGCGGAGAACGCAACTCATATGAAAGGGCTAGGCGTGAATCCGAAAATAATTGTAGTATACCTGAAACAACGCAGCCTGTCGTTGTTTTTCAGGAAGAAACAGAGCCTGTTATTATCGGCCTCCAGCTCCAGGCGGATCAGGCGGATCAGGCCTTCCTGATATCCGCCAGCAGAGCGTGATTGTTTGCTCGAAAGTTTTGGTTTGGTTTGTTTTACGGCATATCAAACCTAATGGGTTATTTAATGCCGACAATTTTCATTGGTGGTATTTTTTTTTTCAAAAATGTATTGTTGGTAATATTTTTTCAAAACAAAATGTATAGCTGGTAAAAAAAATGTATAGCTGGTATTTTTTTCAAACATGTATTACTGGTAATTTTTTTTCAAAAATATATAGCTGGTAATAATGTATTGCTGGTAATAAGTTTTACAAAGAATTTCTGGCATTAAAAACTATCTTTACACTTTCATAGTGTTTTGACTCCAGTTTGGGGGCGGGTAACTATTGCCCATAGCTGGGACCCTACCATCTCGGGTCAAAGAGAACCTGGGAACACCAGCCATTAAGAGGCGGTTCCACGTTCCTCAAAACCCCCTGATCAAAGGCCTTGCTGTTGGACGTAGTTTATCGTCTTACCCAGAACGCGGATGTAGTTTATCGTCATACCCAGGACGGTTGCTCGAAAAGATAGCAATAATTCCAAAAGGTCGATCGTATGGTTCGCCCCCTGGTAGGCAGCCTCGTTAAGAGAAGCTAGATTGCAATTGAAAACAGGTCGAATTCTAGTGGTAGATGCAGGATATACCTTCAGGACAGGCCTGTGTGGAATCCAAATATATTCCTTAAACAGGTGAGGAGAAACAAAAATTTCCTCTATTATTCCGTCACGTTCTTGTTGAAAAACCTTCAAGTAGTCCTGTTTCCAGTTTCCGTGCCACATTGTCCAAGACGCAAATGGCCACAGAATGGTTGGAAAGAACACAAGATATCTTTTCGAATTCCCAAGGTAGTCGACTCTAGTACTTATTGTCCTTGAATGTGATAGATCGTCTGAAGAGCGCAACCATCTGCTCGTCATAATTAGACGACTTTTGTTCTTAAATCCGTAGTGACTTTATGCTGAACATTCTTTCTAAACCTATTTATACATCACAGTCAGGGAAGAAGTCAATTAGGGGATCTTCATATGTACTCCTAGAATGCAGTGTCAACATGGAAGGAAGAATCCCTCCGTGTGGGGTCGGATCGAGACCGTGATTCTGCATATCTAAAGGATCCCCGTTTAGGATTATAGGCAGTGTCCGAGGAATTACTACCCCTGTATAAGGAGACGTTTAATCGCCTCCTTGGTATCCCCTAAGACGGAATATAATGTGGGAATTCTCTTACCTGAGAGCTGAATCAATTCACCCTTAACTTCTCTGGGGAATATAGAGAAAAGGATTTTTGCCATGAGGCGAACTCCAGAAGACTGTTCATTCGAGAAAGCACAGTTGAAAGAGCCTTCCAACTCCATCAGAAGTGAGGTTATCTTAGATATAAACTCCGTCAATAATGAAAAAGACTTCTTTCGTTTAACAGAGAAGTCTAGTATGTTTTGAAAAATGTTGTCGATAATTTCATCTTTATCTAGGTATTCATCCTTCAGGATATCGAAGGCCATTCGATAATTATTATTGCTGATATGGTTGATCAGCAGTAAGGACTTTCCAGAGAGTGAACATTTTAAAAAGTTTAGCCTCTCAGCATCGTTAGTCATGCCCGCTACACAATTCTCAAGTTTCGGAAACTCATTTGGTCAGTATGCATTTCCTGGCCACTGAACGTAGGGCCAGGAATCTGGATATGTGGTGGTCTGAGAACGAATGAAGACGGACTCCTATCCATTCTAGGGGGTGGGGGAGGTCCTGGAGCGACGATTTCAAAGAATCAGTTGCGATTTAAGTTTCGGATACTCGAGCTCTCTCCTGAACTTTAATGAATACTTCAAGAATTCCTTCTCGATATCCACCCAGTCTTACTCATAAAAAGACTGCAGTTACAATTTGTTAACACAAATCTCTATCTCTGTTAGGTACACTAACACATTTTTTTGAAGAGGCAAAAAATCTTCGCAGAGAATTTGTCCTGACTAGCAACATTCAGATTTGATCGTAGAAGAGAAAATCCTTCTCAGTAATTCGTCCCGGTTATTATCCATGTCAAATACGTGCGAGATTAATATAATTTTTTTTCGGTAAAATGTCGAGAAAATCTCAACCCAAGCAAAAAAATCCGTGACGGTACAGGTCAAGGAATTGAGCAGAGGTACTTACTCTAAGTTGCGAAAAAAATATCTACTTCCGCGACGTAGCTTCGCCATCAGATAACTTGTATAACAAAGGATAAAAAAGAGGAAAAAAGCATTCCTCTTTAGTGAACACGTGATAACAAGTCACAAGACCTGAAGACTACAAAAAAATTAGCAAAAAAAGGTAACAGCTTTTAGTCGACCAAACAACCCCGGTAAGTACCTTACTCATCGCACCTGAAACGTCCAGAATATTTTCCACAATATATGACACACACACACACACACAAACACACACACACACATTATATATATATATATATATATATATATATATACTGACTGTATTCGGAAATATCAGTAAATTTTTAATTTTTTATATTTTATATATAAACCTAGTAATATATAGTTTCTCATGTATGCACTAAGGACATGGGTCATTTATTAGGTTACATATTTTAGCTTTTCTTATTAGTTTCTATTTTACTTTAGGTGTTTTGCTGGATTCTTTTTAGTGTCAGAAGTACTTTGAGAGATATGTTTAGGTTAGAATTCGTTTTATTTTATTTAACTACAATTTTAAAGGATGTTTAGGTTAAAATACGTTTTATTGTACTACAATTTTAAAATATTTTCATGGTTAATTTTAATAGAGTATATTTCTTTTTAAATCAAGTATATGTAATAGAATTACTTACATTATATAAAATTAATTTTTAATATCAAATATAAGTTTGTATATTACCAGGTCGGATTTTTTAATTTTATTTTTAAATATTATTTACGGCAAATTTTTGACAATGACAGCAAAAAATAGCTATTTCATTTCTCTGATTGAGTAAATTCTTATTTTTTATAAACTTAGTAATATATAGTTTCTCAAGAATGCACAAAGGACATGGGTCATTTAATGACCTACATATTCTAGCTTTTCTTATTAACTTCCATTTTACTGTAGGTGTTTTAGTGGATTCTTTCAGGTGCCAGAAGTACTTCGAGAGAGATCTTTGATTTCTATATTTATTTATCCTAAAGGAACTTTGATGTTGGTTGAAACGCATTTTGAATTCATGGCTTGTGCAACCTATATAGATTTTTGTTTTCAGGATTTTCAATAGAAGAGATATTGCATTGGTATACTAATGATTCTGTGTGACATTTATTTTGTAGAGGACAGTTGTGAGGGTTTCTACAGTTACATAATTTTTGTTTATCTTCATCCGTTTTTATTTTTATTTTTCTATTGTCTAAAATTTTTTGTTTCTGGTCTAAGTGTTTATTTAAGATATTTGCATTATGTTTCTTAATAATTTTTTCTAAGTTTTCAGTACAGCTGTAACTTAATTTTAATGTATTTTTATTGAAAATGATATTTAATTTATTTTCTCTAGGAAAGTGTTTGACTATTAATGCGAGGAATTTTTGTCACAATTTGTTCTTTACAATTTGGTTGTATGGGAGTGTATATCAAATTATTTTTGTACTTCTGTTTTTTCTATGCTTTCCATTTTCATTTTTTATATAAGTTAGTTTTGGGTTTTTGTAGCCATTATCTTTTAGAGCTTTATTATAGAAATTAATATGTTCATCGAAAATCTTATTCAGCAAATGACAAAAACTCAAAAACCCCAGACGACATGAATTTAACGGATGTCAAAATTCGTTGAAAAATACATCCCCACCCGTACCTAAACTTAACCCCTTTTTCAAACGTAACAAATAACTGATACAACAAAAGTTAATAAAAATGAACACGCTACCACCCCTTGTCTGGATGATTGGATTTCTCTGTATCCTTGGTAAACGTAAATTATGAATTTCCCTTGCAGTTAAAACAGTAATTTTTTTAAAAAATAAGTTACTCCAAAATTCGCTTGAGGATGAAATGGAACTAATATTTTTAATTTAATTACAAAATTAAATTTAAAGTTTTTAGCTTTCATTTTTGAAACATGGTTATTACTTACACACGAAAAAATATATTTTAAATAAGTTAATTTATAATATTAATGCTCTGTAAATTTACATTGAGCTCTATTTTGTAAAAAATAAAAATATCAATAAGAACACCGGATTACATATCTTACTGTTCTTTCTTTTTTTATTTAAATATACATAAATATATATAAATATGATATATATAATATTTATATATAATATATCTAATCTATATAATATAGGTATAATATATATACATATATAACATAAATTCCATATATATATATAACATATATATAATAGATATACAGGGGGCCTACACTATTTTTGGGACACTTTAAAAAGTGTGCTTAAAGGTGTTTTTTGCTGCTGAGAGCTTTTGTGTTGATGAGTAGGTAGTTCAGCAGTAACTATCCATTAATGGTATGAACATTGATTGATGGGTTTGTCTTTGTTTTCATCTTTTCTTTATTTTTACTTCAACTTTGGCGACACTAGTTTTCGGACATGACACAAATTCCGGGATTTTTAATGATTTAGTCGTCGAATGTGTACAATATGCAAATTTTCTGCAGGTAAATTGTACCCTGACCATTACATTTGAGTATCTTTACCATTCACTGCGAAAACGTATTAAAATCCTGAAGAAGAATGCATTCAAAAGAAGTCATCAGTTTAGTCCAAAAGAAGAGAGAAGACGGGCTCAGCATCCGAAAGATCGCCGCTGAGATGAAGCTACCAAAGTCAACAGTTGAATACATTCTAAGTACAGACTATGAGCGGAAGAAGAAGAAGAGAGGACGGAAAAAAAACAAATTTCCAAGAGAACAGAAAGAAGAATGAAGAGGAGTGTTACGAGGTTGTTATCATCTGGAGAAAAGGTGACATCGAAAAAAGTAAAGGAGAAGTGTGAACTTGACGTCAGTGTTCGAACTGTACAAAGAAAGCTAT